CAGAAGTGATTCTGGAAGTTACATAAACACTAAATATGTCACTTTTCCATTTTATGTCTCCCATGATAAACTGTTATGAGAGACATGCACATGGCTTGAAACAGATAATTGTTGATAACCCTGACTGGTGGGAGAAGGAACCATCTGGCAGATGGAAAATAAGAAAGTGCCAAGAATTTAGCAGACTAGGGGGCTTGGGAATTTATGCACAGAGGTCTGAAGAAAGGAATATTTAGACAAAAGTTCAGCAACTCTGTTTCTATCTATACAAAAAACAAATTGGAACATCAAAAGTATCCAAGTAATTATGAAAATGATTCCTGTTTGAAATTCATCGTGAATTGTGAGCAAAATCAGTGAATCTAAAACTGTGAATTTAGAAGTGAGGAATTCTTTGTGCATATCACGATTAACCACAAATGGTTATAACACATAGCATCACCACATTTTATCTTCTATCCTTCAGGTTTCTATCCTCGCTGCTTTTAACATGCAAATGCCTTTATTCATCCTCTCCTGACCTTGCTGTGTGGTATCATTTGTTTCTTTCAATTTTCCTTAACAGCATTTCTTTCTTCCTATAGCAGAGAAAGAGCAACTTCTGATAAGCTGCACTTTGTATTCCTTTCCTTTCTTCTAAGTGAATTTCTTTTCCCTCTGCTCTCCCCTTTATCCCTCCTGGGTAAAACAACGGACATTGCTGGATGCAGCATTCTAATTGTGAATCCGCATTTTTCCACTGAGATCACTACTCATTAGCCATTTTGCTGCTGACCCTTCACAACAGCTGAGCTGCAGCCAACATCTATGGCAGTCAAGGGGAAGTGAGGACATGACCCAAGTCAGTAGTCACAGGCAAAACACAAAATTAATGAATTTATGTAACATAATTAGTGATTTGGGGCTGGTTTTGCTGAAGCATCGTGGGTCACCATGAGGACCGTAAAGCACTGTAACAGATTGCTCGGGGACATTGTGCTGTCTCTGTCCTTGCAGGTTTCCAAGACCCACCAGGGTAAAGCCTGGAGCAACCTAGTTTGATCTCATAAGCTGGCCCTGCTTTGAGCAAGAGGTTGGATGAGAAACCCCAAGAGGTCCCCTCCAATTTGGATTTATGAGGCCATGATTTCCAGAGGCACCCTGAAATATAACTCCCACTGACTCACACATAACATTCCCATTGCAATGAAAATGGCATAGAAAAATATTCTTGAAAATCTCACTTAAAGCTAACTAGCATCTTCAGAGTTCTTAAAATTGTAGCTGCAGAGCCCCTTCCAGTCAGCAACTCCCACTTCAACTGATGCCATTACAAACAGGTTGCTCAGCAGATCCTACCAGCTTTCCTCACTCAGACTGCCCTGCTAATAATTTTTCGTTTGGGGAGTTCCTGCAACCCAATTTTCATCTTGTTTTTCAGCCCAAAAGTCCGATTTTCATTCAAACGCCATCAGAATAATGCCATTATATCCAGATAGAAGTCTGTGGTACCTCATATTAAAAGACCTGCAGGCTGTCCTGGCTACTCACCAATTTTTCTGATAGGAACAATGAGATGGTAACTTACCACTCAGCCTCAAGTCCCTTCTCATCACCCTGTTTATAACAAGCACATTTCTAGCTCAGACACTGAAATGGACTCCAGAGAGCTCACCCGCAGCCGTGGCTGTAAACGGGTCCCTTGCATACAGAATTTTCTTCTGTGAAGGAATATGCCATATATTTTTACACACAAATTTACAGCCTTATGTTTCACTGCAGAAGCAGATGATTCTTTAATCACAGTTCTCCCATTTGCAAGGCCACTAATTATGATTTTTTTTTCATAGTTTTCGTGGTATCAGTGTGTGTGAGGAATGCTGGCTCTTCATGAATCGAGGGAAGACAAGACACCTTAAGTTTTGTGCTGATTCTCTTCAAATTTGCACTGATCCAACTCTAAATACTCAATAATGCAGGCCCATTCTTGCGATCCTTTCACGATCTCACAATACAAGGAACCCTGAGCCTCAAATTAAAATAAATACAAGGAAATTTTCCAACTTGAAAACAACTCTGTGTTGTACCAACTCTATGCATTTCTTTTTTTTGCAGAAATGACAGTTCACATGAAGAATCATGGATATCATGGCAGCCAAGAGCTGTTATTTAGACACATTAATAGAACTCATTTGTTGCCAGGGAATCCAAATAGACCAGATAAACCTTATTTTTTTACTTTAAATGTGTGCAATATAATGAGTATTGCTGAAATGTTATTCCATGTATTTTTTAATTATAAAACTTGCACAGTTTTTTAAGATCTTGCTCAGGATCTCTGATTCAAAACGCAAACCACATCTACAGACTGCCAGGGTAACTAGAAGAAAGCACTGACAATTGAAGTTGGATACATCAATAGCAAGCAGTCTCACACTCAGATCCTCCAAATTAAATCTGCTTACCTTATTCATATGCATAATTCCAACAGAGTAATATTTATACAACACTCTTAATTGAAATGGCACTAGAATAAGAACATTTTTGATCCATTTGATTAAGTAACATAATACAGGTGGCATTTGCCTGATGTTCAATCTGTTCATGTAAAGCAGCCCCACACACTTTGACAACAGTTGCCACTCACCACTCCAGAGAGACCCATTCCTGCATTAATGGGATGCGCAGGAGCAAAGCTGAGACAATGACTCTTAGACCACCTCTTGTGGTGTGCAAGGGCTCATGTTAAACCTCTTTCACCTCCAAGGACACAGCAATTGGAAATGAAGGGGGAAATACAGAATAATCTCACTACTCTTCTCGTGGCCTACAGGATGAAAAACACTTGTTTCAGGATTATAATCCCCAGTATTTCATCTCTAGAGATCCAAGTTGTAATCATAATGGGAAAAAAATGGTTTGTTCCTCTTCACCGTCAGGGTATGAAGTTTGACACCTGGCAAATTACAAAGTGATCGGACAGATAAAGAATTTCCTCCTTTTGTTAGAAAGACTGAAAGACACTTATCTAATGATTTTCTCATTGTCAGCTCTGAGCTTAGAGGCAGCAACTTATACACTTCTACACATCTTGTGTTTTAGTTGATTCAGTGGAGGACAGAGGGTTTTCGTGTGTTTTCATGCACTGAGTGATCCTTGCCATTTTACCATACTTGTACAATTTTCTGGCTTTGTTCACAGCAAAAGGCAACACATACTTGCCCACTGGCCTTTCTCTTCCATCAAACCAACGTGTCAAGTCTTCAGAACAGTCTCATTTCCCATGCAACTTAGTGCACCCTGTACCTTGTGTATGCTATTGATTCTTCACTAAGCATTAGCTTCAGCTGAAGAAACACACTGTAATTATTAAATCAGACAGAAAGCAAACCCAGGCACTATTTTTAAGCATAAGAGTCAAGTTTATTTAAGTATTCTGACCTCAGCTAGCTGTCCCTCTCACAAAAGGAAAAGCTCTTTTTTAATCATGTTCATCATCTTTCTCATATCCTATTTTTTCTATAATTTTCCACATTTAAAACTTTTTTCAACTACTTTTCTTTTATTTCCTCTAATCCTCTTTTCTGAAGATAAAAAAGGACTAAAATGGTCTTTTAACGGCCAGTTGTTCACAGACTTATTTTTTAATACAGCAGCATGAAACATAGGGCTTAGCCCACCAGCATTTTCCACAAGCAGGGTCCCATTCACTTCTCCTGAAGCTTTACCTGAACAAAATTGCAGTCTTTTATTTTCACAAAATTAGCATTGCATTACTTCTTCTGTTCACCCAAAACATGCCGAGGTACAACTGTACAGTATGTTGGGTGATTCCTTGCTGCAATGTAGTAGGTGGAGCTCAAATTATGGACCAGAGTCAGATGCTGTAACTCTACTGGCACAGTGTTCATATCAGTAAAGTGAAGCAGATGCTTGCAATGCACCATTATTAGAAGAGCAGCGAGCGCTCTCGTGGAATGACAGGATGAGCTTTTTAATATAATTAGAATCCAAAGGAGATTTTTGGAAGCTAAGTCAATTGGGCTCATCTGTTTCACACTCCCAAAGGCAGTTAATTCCTGCTCACTTTACTCATCCCGAAAACTTTCCCAGAAGAGAGCAAGGAATTCTGCACGCAGAAAGGACTGTGCTTCAGCTTCCAAAATCAGAAGAGCTTATGCTGTAACATGCTATCATGAAAAAGCCCCATTTAGAAATCTCAGCAAAGTTCCAAGCCTAAAGAGAGCGGGAGCCGAGCTCCCGGCGCAGTGTCCCATCCCCGAGGGAGCTGGAGTGGCTCTGGGCAGCTCCCTGCTCTGCAGAGGGGCTCCACAGCTCCCACTCGCTCTCCTGCCGGGAGCGGCGCTGCCAAACGCGGGGCTGCCACGAGCACAGACAGGGCAGTGCGGTGGCAGCGGGGCAGCTTCATAGAGCAGGGGAGGGATGAAAAGCAAGCGACATGCTCCATAAGCAGATCAGATTTTCAAGCTCTGCCCCAGGACATACCGACTGAAGAAACGAAAAAAACCCACAGGATACAGCCCAAACCCAAACATCCAATATCCACTCAGCACCACACTGGAACATGTAGTGGTAACACAAAACACCTCAATCCACAACAGCACAAGTACCTTAGTATATATTTTAAACACCAAATAAAGTATCCCTCCCATTCTTAGCACTGCTGTCTGGAATTTGGGAATATATCCTAATGGGGCAATTAAAAGATCTCCCATTGCTAGATTTGATTTTACTGATGGTGAAGATGAACTGAGGGAAGATGTGTAATGCAGTCATTCAGCAAGTGTATAGGCAACCTTATGCAATAATCTTTGCACTAGTTTATTAAATGTGTTTCCTTTTCAGGATAAGTTCAACATCTAATGCCAAAATTTCATCAAGAACTCAAAAAGACTAGTAGCCAGTTATCAGCTGCTTAACTGAGAGTACTAATACAAGAAATAGACATATATACACATCACTAGAATTTTCACACATACACACACATACCCACATCAGCATCCTGTTTATATCAATTTATTTTCACAAATCAATTTCCTTTCTCCTACTCATACTCTTCACATTTTCTGAAGGCACAACACCCAAATAGGCAATGTAAAATGTACTTCCTGTAGAAAAGTCTGTAGTCTCCTAAGAGAACAGTTTGGCAAAACCACGTTTGTTTAAAAACCCCAAGTTGCAAAATGAGCCTTCAAAGAGCAGCAGAGAACACCATCAAGATTAAAAATTACTTGAGGTGTCTGCACTTCTCATATGCAACACACCACTTAACCTTTAATAAATCAGGACTTTTTCCAGGAAATTACAAAAGCAGAAGTAGCAAAATCTCTCTCTCTTTTTTTTTTTTATCATCAAGTTTTAACGATGGGACAGTCTCCAGGCAAAGCTCCCAGAAAGAGCCAGACCACCATCTGGCTCCATCACAGAGCAATGACAATTCACAAGCACCGAGTCTCCAACCAGCGCTCTGAAATCAAATGCTCGGCTGGCTCCATAAAAGCTTTGTTACAGCTATGAACACACAGCTGTACGCTTCCTCCCTCTTCGTACATAAATATACCCCTGGACACAGACAAAGGGAAAAAATAAATCATTTTATGCATTTTTCTATGTTTCCCTGCTATGCCTGTTACCGATCAATGTCAAGAAATATCTTACATATCTTATGTATTGTTAGCACTATAGAATATATATAACATATATAATTTTATTTTTGTTTTTACACATGCTAATGTTTCCAATATGACAAATGTCTTTTTGAATCCTGCATTTCTTGTCACACTGTAGATCCACTTCTGTTTGACAGTGACTCCTGGACATACATGTCAAGACAAAAATAAACATTGCTGTGATGGCAAACCTTTTAAAACTCTTATGACACTAATACAGTGGCACTTAAAAAGACTTTTTAAATACAACAAAAAAGACAATAGTTAAATAGAAACCTGCTCTGACACAGCCATAAAACCTGCACTACACTTGTGAGATCTCTACTTGATTTTGTGAGAGCAGCCCCTAGTCTTTGAACACATCAAATGTTGCACTCCAGCCCTCCACTCATACCCTTTAAAAAGTCCACGTCGCTATTTAAGCGAGCATCCCTTCCAGCTGTACATAAGCAACACTGTAATTCCCAAACAATTGAGGTAATTATAAAAATGAATATCATTTATTATTTTCTTTTATTACTATCATGTCTGAACATTTGCTTTCATACAAAAGTCTGATTTTCAGCATTATATTTTCCAAGGGCATCCCCTCCGCACCAAGGGAGATAAAGATGGGTTAGGAATTGTGCAAGAGTTTTTGTTACCATCTTCAAACCCACAAGAACTTCATAAACAAGATTTTGGTACAGAATAACTGCCTGGCGCTTTTAGAGAAGGAGAAAGGGGCTTTACACATATTTTCAGTTCCACTTGATTTTTTTTTTTCAAATCGCATCTAACCCAATGAAAGGGGAGGGTAATTAAAAAAAAAAAAGAAATCATCACATTACTGTATGTTACCCTTCAGCAGTCTTTGGAGGAAATCGGAAACCAGGCTGCTTTTCCCGGCTCCCTCCCTCACTCAAAGCAGCCGGAGCGGCTCCTCTGCCCGCAGGGCTCAGCCACCCCCGGGGCGCTCGGCACAGCCCGTCACAGCCGCGGCTTCCTGAGCAACGTTCTGCTGAGGTCCTTCACCTCCTCGGGGCTGCCGACCCTCTCGTAGCCCAGCAGGGCCATGGGCTGGTGGCAGTACTCCTCGACCTGCTTGATCTGCTGGTAGCTGAGCGCAGTCCTCCAGGCGCTCAGCGCCTGGGTCGCGTTCCTGGCCGACACCACGAAGGGCTTGGAGGAGTAGCCGGGGCCGCTGGTCATGTTGAGGGCGAACTTCTCCATCTCTGGGCTGACCGCCAGGTTGACGAAGCCGTACACCTGCCGCAGGGTCTTGATGGGCTCGACCACCAGGTCCTCGTAGCGCACGGCCATGTAGTTGCCCTGGAGCCAGTCAGGGGGGTGCAGGGCAGTCTGCAGGGTCTTGGCCATGCTGCTGCAGATCACTTCCATGGCACCCAGGGCATGGTAGTCCGAGCCGCCCCCCCCCCTCCTTCTTCCCGCCCAGCTTGTGGCCAGCATCAAGGAAGGGCATGCGGTGGATGTGGGGGTCCCGGCTCCTCACCACCTGCAGGCTCTCCCGGATGAGGCCGTGCCGGGACTTGATGCGGGAGCTGGCGACGGCCCGGGGGTCCCGCACCAGATGGATGACTTTGAGGTCCAGGGTCGGGTCCCGCATGAGCGGGGCGAGGACGGCCAGGTCGAACACGCGCACGCCCTTGATGACCAGCGTGCGGTACTTGTGGCATTCCTCTTGGAAGCGGCTGAGGCGCTGCGGGGGGCACTTTTTGCACACCCGATCGTCCACCATGCCCACCACCTCCTTGCGGTAGGCCGGGCAGAGGGGCGAGGAGCAGATGACCTTGTTGGTGGCCGCCCCGAAGATGCCGAGCGTGGTGAGGTTCTTGCCGGCACCCCCCGTGCTGTAGAGCTGGAAGACGGAGAGGTCGCAGCGGTACAGGGAGCTCAGCATGTCGCGGGCCGCCCCTTGCAGCGAGACCGCGTCCCCGGGGTACAGCTTCTGCCAGACGTGCCACACCGGCTCGTAGAGGAAGAAAACCTCGGGGTTCTGGTTGAAGAGCTCCCCGAAGAAGGACGAGCCCGAGCGCCAGGTGGTGAAGACATAGACCAGCTGCCGCCGGGCACCCGCCGGGCCGCGGCTCCCGGCCGGCGGCGGCGGGGGCGGCGGCGGCGGCTGGTGGCGGGGGGCGCCCGGGGTGTCCC